ACCTCAGCTATCCAATCTGACTACGTCTGCTCTGATTCCCACCTGGTACCTGACCTTGGCTTGAACCGACTACCCAGTAAACATCTTAATCCCGGAAGGGCTTGCATACCACGCACAGGCGCCTCCTGTCTTCAGACCTATCTCCGTGCACCAGCTGTGCTTCTGAGTGGACCACCAACCAGCACTCCTACAGGCGAACCTGTGCAACTTTGGGCCTGATTCCCACTCTCAGGGGAGTCCGGAACTTAGCCGCAAGGGAATCCCTCTCTCTATCGGCCTCCAACACCAGGTACGTAATACAAATTGATCAAAGGCATGGAGGAGCTCAGCTATGAGGAAAGATTAGAGGAACTGAATTTATTCTCTCTTGAGAAAAGGAGATTAAGGGGGGATATGATCAACATGTATAAATACATCAGTGGTTCATATAGTGAACTCGGTGTAGAATTATTCACCCTGAGGTCATCACAGAGGACAAGGGGGCACTCTCTGCGTCTGGAGGAAAAGAAATTTAATCTCCGAACATGGAAAGGTTTCTTCACAGTGAGCTGTGAAAATGTGGAATAGACTCCCTCAAGAGTTGGTTCTGGCCAGCTCAGTGGATTGCTTTAAAAAAGGCCTGGATTCTTTCCTGGATACACAGAATATAACTGGATACTAACATTTATAGGTAAAGTTGATCCAGGGAATATCCGATTGCCTCTCCGGGGATCAAGAAGGAATTTTTTCCCCTGCAGGAGCAAATTGGATCATGCTTTGCTGGGTTTTTGCCTTCCTCTGGATCAACTGTGGGTATAGTATTATAACTTTTTTTTTTTTTTTTAATGGTTGAACTGGATGTACTTTTGTTTTTTCTCAACCAGACTAACTATGTAAATATATATATATGCAGGGTTAGGACTAATGGCTCCATCAGGAGTGGCATGATGGGAGAGATCAGGAAAGGGGAGAGCTTAAGAGAACAGTTGGGCTTTCAATAGACTCTGAAAGACATTGGGTGATCTATCATGCGTAATGTATTATATAAGGTGCAAAGAACAAGACATCTTCCAGATCATACTGGGGAAAAGACCATTTCAAGTCCAGTCCTTCTAAAGACAGCAAGTTTAATTCTAGCAACCTATAGTGGAACTGTAGCCAATACTTTTTTTTTTTATTCTGGATAGAAGAGAATGGTTGGAACCTTTTTGAAGTTTTTACTGTGATGTCTTCATTAGGGAGACTAGTTCACATTTCCTGTCCTGGTGACAACACAGGAAATGGGGGGAATCTCGCCAATAAGAATAAAACAAAGCACATCTAGCAGACGTTCTAAGTATTTTTCACTGCGGTATTAAAAAGTTTCTTTGTTATCTATGTCTTCAATGGAGAGATTCCTTTTATTTACCAACCCACTGTCGGAAGACAGGTATCTGATAAAGCACCACATGCCTGAAGTATGTTGTGCTAAAATACATGATCCTACTGCAGAAGCACAATGGCAACTGAACTGCATGTCTGAGAACTGGAGTGGTTTCTGAAATGAAAACCCAAGCAATATATACTATACATAAAACCAGCTACTTCAAACTGGGAATAAAATATAAAATTACAATACTTAAAAACTGGAAAATTTTTATCCAACACTTAATGGAAGCTGAGCAGTTGGGCATTGCAATGCTGACAGTGAAGCTTATTTTGGGATATGTTCACCCCCATTTTCACAATTTTCATCGGTTTTAAAGCCTAAGTGCAGCCAAAATAATATATATATATGTATATATAAAAAAAGAATCAGCACAAGGAACATAACTCACGGTCAGTATGATCTGTCCCTTGTGCAGATTCCTCTTCTGTTAGTAGAAATCCTCCCCCATCCTACCCCCCTTCACCCAACTGCTGTAGTTTCCCAAAGCTGCAGATGTTTAATAGAACTACGGGGCTGTCACATGGTCTCACCAAGAGAATCCAACTATGCCTACCCTGTTCCTCCATTCATGGAAGCCACATTATAGCTTCTTTGAATGAAACATGATCTATGAATGAAAGGGGAGGACCCATCAATCATTCGCCCATCCTTCATCTATAGATCCTGTTTCAGTCATAGAAGAGCAGGAATATTCTGGCACTCTTGATGAGAGCCTGTGACAGCACCTTACTTCTATTAACCCCTGCAGCACTGGATGCTTATGGTGGCAGGGGTGAAGGAGGCAGTACAAAGGATTATTTCTACTAACAGATGAGGAATCAGCATAAGGGATACATCATAGTGACTGTAAATTATGTCCCTTGTGCTGATATTTTTTGTTTTATTTTAGCTACACTTGGGCTTTAACTGCAGATTTCAGATGTATACAGTTCTATAGGCTGGATTCACACCTCTGCGTTTCTGCCTGATGCAGTTTCATTGAATCAATGAAAAATGAGTAAGTCCACATGTTAGTGCATGCATGCATTAAATTGTGCATTGAAATGCAATGCAAGGTGCATTGTAATATGCATGGATACATGTTGACATCCGTGTTGATGTATTTCTATTGATTTAAATGATAAATGCATCAAGATAAAAATTCAGAGGTGTGAGTAGGCCCTAAGACAGAGATGAGGCAAGAGGAAACAAGCAAGCGCACATTTCCCATGCTTTCTGCATGTATTAGTGTAGAGCAGCTTAAGAATATAATGTTCACAAATGCAAACAATATCTTCACCAGGCAGTTCCACCAGAAATTCTGGTAGGTTAACTATATGAACCTATTGTTAACCTGGGAAATTTACATGACATAAAACAGAATATTTACTTATCCAATCCATGCTGCTGGACTGGTGTCTGCGGTGTCTTTTCCCCATGCCCCAGCATTCTAAGGTGCTGATTTCATCAAGAACTCTGCAAGGTCCATAGCGCTGTATTGGATGTCATGATGCCAGGGGACAGTCTACTACTGGAACTTGGGAAGTGCCATAGCAAGCAGCTTACTATGGGGCACTCAGAAGGGAGAAGGAGCAGAGAGTGCCAGCGGGGGACATGTTTGTTATTTTAATAAAAAATAAATAAATAAAAAAGCTTTATAAATCACTGTATTGGGTATGTCAGCTCTAACAATACATTTATCTTATTTGCTACATTTTGGTCTTCTAAATACAGTATACCATTCAAAGAATTTTTATCATATTTGTTTGACAAGTGTGAAAAAAATAGCTGCTCATCCTGCAAGAAATTCTGCGAGCTGACAACTCCCTGTACTTTCTGCCTCTGGAGTGTTACCAGTTAAATATATTCTCTGCTATCTCTGTGGCCTACTCACACCTCTGCATTTTTATCTTGATGCATTTATCATTTAAATCAATAGAAATACATCAACGAAGATGTCAACATGTATCCATGCATATTACAATGCACTGTGCATTGCATTTCAATGCACGATTTAATGCATGCATGTATTAACATGTGTGTGCATTTACACCTCCCCCTGTTATGGAGAAGAGAGGGAAGTGTTATCTAGTTGAAATACAGGTTGCACTTCCAGGTGAGAAAGGGACCTCAAAAGCACCAAAGACATGGGCTGTTGGTCACAGATAAGGACAATGCTGACCTTGTACTCTATCAACATTCTCACAATAGAATCAGCTTTTAAAACTGTTATGAGATGGTACTTGGTCCCGGCCCACCTAGCGCACCTCCACTAATCTTTCTCCGATAACTGTTTCTGCGGTTGTACTACCCCAAGAGATGTCCTACATACATGGTGGACATGCCCTATGCTTTCCCAGTTCTGGCCAAAGGTCCTTAAACTCTTGCACTCCCCACTAACTTGTCCTTTTTCTAGAGATCCTTGGTACATCCTTCTCCATTTGAAACCCCCAGGCCTTTCAAAACACCAATTCAAGTTGGCTATGTACGTATTATTGGCAGCTAAATAAACTATAGCAAAGGCCTGAAAACAACAATTCATATCTTTTAAGGAAGTCCAATGTTGCAAAGACTTTTTCCTGGTAAATGAAAAACTCTCTAGCATCTTCTCTGACACACACAAGAGATTTATCAAAATATGGACTCCTTGGATCCAACATGCCCATCTGACTATATCAATAGATCATTTAATACACTATAACTCTGGTGGCCCCACAACCCGGACCCAGATGCTTTAGATTTTCTTTTTTAGATTTTTTTTTTTATGATAGGCTGTATACTTTTTTGATTCAATTATATACTTTATGCATTTCAAATGCTGTTATTTTTTCACTGTTGTCAGTCGCACAGCAATGGGTGTATAGTTTTCCTGCGCCCTTCTGTTGCAGTACTGACTTTTGATGTGCTTTGTTGTTTCAGTTATCTCTCATTTGACATACAAATGACTTGTCTCTACCTATGGATATATGTTCCAATGCACGACTGCAATAGACTGGTTCAGTTTATTTCTACTTTATGTACACGATAGTGGTTGTATTTGTACCATTTAAATGAAAAATATTCAATAAACACTATTGAAAGGATAAAATGTATTGAAATGAAATACAGGTTACGCAGTCCTAACACACTCCCTGTCCTAGGGTAACAAGGCTGCTCAGTATGGTTGTCACCCCAGGACAGGAAGTGCGTTAATGGCAGGATTACCAGGTAAAAATAAAGCAAAAAAGTACTAAAAAAAAAAAACAAACAAAAGTAATGCAGTTGCCAAATTAACCCCTTCACGTCGGCGTCTGCTGGCCCTTTAAGGAGTTTCTGATGCCGGGAGGTGGGGCAGGGTTTAGGGTCATATGACTGTCGTGATTGGCTGTCACGGCAGTCACATGATCAGAAAGTTCCCGATGCAAGGAGAGATTGAAACCTTTCCGCAGGGTGCGTGCTCTCAGCACGTTTGTTTACAAATGGTACGCAAATATGCGGCCGCTCGGCGTTAAGGCCCAGACTCTGAGAGGCTGCATATTTGCTTACTATAGGCGTGAAGAGGATAGAGGACTAGTAAGCTGCAATACTATCATTTGTGTTGGTGTTTAGATACACTTTACAGGTGTGAAGGTTCTCATTCCAACTTGGTTTGCACAAACCTTTCCATTCTACACTCCAAATATTCCTTTGATTCTTCTCTGCACAGATTACTCTGAAATGAGTTCTCCCGTAAGCACTTCATGAACGTCAGTTTAAAAGGTTTACATTCACCTGTAGGGAATAAGTAGAATGATCAAAATAACTGGAATACATACAAGTACACAAAACAGTGGATTATATATAGTATATTATATATATATATATATATACACACACACACACACACTATATATATATACACACACACACAACACACACACACACACATGCTTGGGATCATTGTCCTGTTGAAAGGTCAAAGTTCCCATTCTTACACACACACACACTTTGAAAACCAATACAATCCTAATACCAAACCTAAAAATTCATAAATATACACCACAAATTGACAAAAAGATGTGCAAAATATAGTGAATATATAAAGTCTCATGTATCTTAATACTCCTTTACTCTTTCACCACTTCATGAGGCATAAACCAGTGTTCCTCCACCAACACCCAGATTGTGCTCTCACCTGGAGCTTTCTGACCTCACATCTTGTAACTCCTTCTCCTCCTCTTCCCAACGGTCCGTTAAAATAACGGAACAGGCAGATATAGTGCTTCATTGCCTTTTTATAACACTATTTAAAATAAGATAAAAAACGCCAACACAAGTTTTGGTGCTAGATCGCACCAGATAAAAACCGCATAACAAGCAATACACTTCCTCCGTAATCCTTCCTCTGATCTGATCTCCCCAGGGGCTAGCTGACGTCACGGTGCAACGTGCTGCACTAATTTGTTTATTTTAAAGCAGTATTAAACCCAAAAATGTAATATATTGCAGCTTACCAATAATCAGATGTGGTGGTTGCATTAGTTTTTTTTTTAGGCTTTTTTTTCTCTCCGTTTTCACCTGATGATCTGGCTAGTAACACACCTCCTGTATTAGAGTGTCTCAACTCTAGATGAATGAGCACAGGGGGCACATTTGGACAGCAGCATTGTCAGTCTGGGAGGAGTGTTACATGTGCTAGCAGATTTAAATACACTAACAAAATGAAGCCAAACTCCAGCTAATACTTTATAAGCAGTTACAGCAAGCAGTTTTTTTTTCTTTCGGGATAAAAGCTTTATATGAATAAATAAAAGCTGATCATTGTAAGCACCCCTGCCAGTGGTATATGGTATGTCTCAACCCTCAAACTGGTACATTTGCAGGGCATGTTGTTCTGTTGATAAACAACAGACTTACTGATAGGATTATCAAGTGAAAATAAAGGAAAGAAAGCCTTATAAAGAAAACTAATACAGTCATCACATCTAAGAATTGGAAAGCTACAGTATAATAAATGTTTGCTTTTGGGTTTAATGCTGTATTAAAGTAGTTTTAAAGCCTAAACATTTTTTTACCTTCATGCATCCCTTGCATTAAAGCGGAATTCCACTCAAAAGTGGAAGCTCCGATTGTTTGCCCCCCCCCCCCCTCCCTCCACTGCCATATTTGGCACCTTTTGGGAGGGAGGGGGGGGAGCGGTACCTGGTTTTGACAGGTACCCGCTCCCACTTCCGGCTCAGTTTGCCACAGTGACGTTCGGACCCCCTCCTTCCTCCCGCAGTCTCCTGGGAACCTTCAACTCGCACACATGCACGTGCAGTGAGCACCCGGCTACAAAGCCGCAAGCGGTCCCAGTTGTGATGCTGGCTCCAGGGAGAGAATAGGGAAAAAAAGGACCGCACGGTTGAGCACATAGCTGGACCCTGGGACAGGTAAGTGTGTGTTTATTAAAAGTCATCAGCTTCAGTTTTTGTAGCTGCTGACTTTAATAAACACAAAACTGACTGGAACTCCGCTTTAAATTAAAAAATGTTTTAGGTACTAGTATGCCCCCTCCCCACCCCTATACTTATTTGAGCCCTCACCTGACCACTATGCTTGTCTGTAGCGGAGCTCACCCTTCTAACCACTCTCACAGGCTTAGCTGAGAACGCTACCACTGCTGTCAGTCAATCTTGTGATGAGTGGGAGCAGGGCCGAGATGCAAAGTCTGTGTCTATAGATGCAGGCAGCACAGCTCAGGATTGACGCACAGGCATGCCACCATAAGAAGCAGCAGGAAGAGGAGGATCAGGGCATTGGTGGGGGACCCGAGAAAGGGAAGGAGCGGGACGCCGCTGGGGGACCCGAGAAAGGGCGAGGAGCGGGACGCCGCTGGGGGACCCGAGAAAGGGCGAGGAGCGGGACGCCGCTGGGGGACCCGAGAATGGGAGGATTGGGTACCGCTGGGGGACCCGAGAAGAGAAGGATCAGAGTGCTAGTGGGGGAGCACCGGGAAGAGGAGGATCCGGGCTGCTCTGTGCAATACCTTTGCACAGGGAAGTGAGTATAAACCTGTTATTTTATAGAAATAAAAGAGAGTTTACAGTCACTTTAAGCCATACATATGTTTACTCATGAGGATATGCAAACACAGACTTTCCGTCCTGGCCACTACTGTACTTGCAAACCCCCATGCATGCCCTGCCTAGTTTGGCAATGCCCTGCTTACAACTGATTGCTAATGCATGGGCATAACCCCATGGGACACAGAGATAGGGTGGGGGATGGCACATCAAATCAGGCAAATAACGGTCTGCTTTGTTATTCTTATGTTTCTTTATAACATATTCCATCCCCATAGGTTTGTTTAAAGGGTGTGATGAGCCGAGTCAAGGCATAAAATAATGAAAAGGAATACAGTACTATCACTGTAAAACAAAATGAAAACAAATATAACCACCAAATATTGCGGCACCCACTGTTATAAAGTACATGGATAAAAATCCAGATAGATCTTCTATATTTTACCCTACTACATACCATACCATAATACACACCCTAACCATCCACCCGGGGGCGCTGTTTCATACATCTGCAATCACTTTTCATCTCACCTTTGCAAAGCTCATTAGAACATTAGATTTTACAATAAAAATAAATAAGTGACAGTCTAGCTCCTCCCAATTCCTTCTCCTGCTGCCCACAGCTCACCAAAGTGATCCAGAGGAAAAGATCCCTTGTCTGGAGGTCGAGGTTTGAAATTTTTTGTCCCAAAGTTCATAGCAGTCGACATGTTGATATAAACTCTCGAGATCCGCTTCCTGTAACCTCTTCCAATGAGTTCATAAAGGACATGCGTGCCCACTTCTGACAGGACCGAGACAGCTTCGTTACACTCAATACGCATGCGTGCCCTCTTCTGAACTGCTGGCGGCAGTTTTCTTATATTTAGTGCGCGTGCGTACTCTTCGAAGAGCTCACTGCACATGCGTATGTCACGAATGGGAAGCAAGTTTTATTCTGTTCCTGTATGCAGAGCGTGGCGAAGTGAATTGCTGACTCTGACATCAGTTACAGTAGGATTGCCAGTTATACAGTGATAGTAATAATAAGAATGCAGAGGAAATAGGCTGTCAACATTCCCTGGAATGTGAAGGAAGTCCTGCCATATAGACCTCATACATTATATAGCAGTGGTCTCCAAACTGTGCCCCGGGGCCGGATGTGGCCCTTTCCTTGCTTTTATCTGGCCCTTGGGGCATTACTCCTCCCAATAATGGGGCACTATTCCTCCCACTGACACCAACAATGGCACACTTTCTTTCCCACTGATACCAATAATGGGGCACTATTCCTACTGACAATGATGGGACACTATTCCTCTCACTGACACAATGATGGGACTCTATTCCTCTCACTGACACCAATGATGGGGCACTGATGGGCACTATTCCTTCCACTGACACCATTGATTGGGCACTATTCCTCCCACTGACACCAATGATGGGACTCTATTCCTCTCACTGACACCAGTGATGGGGCACTATTCCTCCACTGACACCATTGATTGGGCACTATTCCTCCCACTGACACCAATGATGGGACTCTATGATGGGGCACTATTCCTCCCACTGACACCACACATTGATTGGGCACTATTCCTCCACACTGACACCAATGATGGGGCACTATGATGGGACACCTCCCACTGACACCATTGATGGGCACAATATTCCTCCCACTGACACCAATGATGGGGCACTATTTCCTCCCCACTGACACACAATGATGACACCATTGATGGGCACTATTCCTTCCACTGACACCAATGATGGGACACTATTCCTGACACCATTGATGGGCACTATTCCTCCCACTGACACCAATGATGGGCACTCTATTCCTCCCACTGACACCAATGATGATGGGCACTATTCCTCCCACTGCACATTCCTCCCACTGACACCATTGATTGGGCACTGACATTGGGGCACTATTCCTCCCACTGGGACACAATGATGGGGACACTATTCCTCCCCCCACTATTCCTTCCACTGACACCATTGATGGGCACAATGATGGGCACTATTCCTCCCACTGACACCAATGATGGGCACTATTCCTCCCACTGACACCATGATGGGATTGGGCACTATTCCTCCCACTGACACCAATGATGGGGCACTATTCCTCCCACTGACACCAATGATGGGGCACTATTCCTTCCCTGCACTGACACCATGGGGACACTATTCCCCACTGATGGCACTATTCCTCCCACTGACACCACTATTCCTCCCACTGACACCAATGATGGGCACTATTCCTCCCACTGACACCAATGATGGGGCACTATTCCTCCCACTGACCCACTGACACCACTGACACCAATGATGGGCACTATTCCTCCCACTGACACAATGATGGGCACTATTCCTCCCACTGACACAATGATGGGCACTATTCCTCCCACTGACACCAATTGATGGGCACTATTCCTCCCACTGACACCAATGATGGGGCACATTCCTATTAACGGGGCACTATTCCTCCCACCATCAATGATGACTATTCCTCCCACTGACACCATTGATGGGCACATTCCTCCACTGACACCAATGATGGGACACTATTCCCCACTGACACCATTGATGGGCACTATTCCTCCCACTGACACCATTGATGGGCACTATTCCTCCCACTGACACCATTGATGGGGCTGACTGGGGCATTCCTCCCACTGATACCAATGATGGGGCATTGTTCCTCCCACTGCTGGGGCACTTTCTTTCCCATTCCTGGGGCACTATTCCTCCACTGACACCAAATGGGGCACTATTCCTCCCACTGACACCAATGATGGGGCACTATTCCTTTCACTGACACCATGATGGGCTGACTGACACCAATGATGGGGCACTATTCCTCCCACTGACACCAATGATGGGGCACTATTCTTCCCACTGACACCATGGGGCACTATTCCTTCCACTCCCACTGACCAATGATGGGGCACTAATGATGGGGCACTGTTCTTTCCACTGACACCAATAATGGGGCACATTTTCCTCCCACTGACACCAATGATGGGGCACTATTCCTGACCCACTGAGACCACTACCAATGATGATGGGGCACTATTCCTCCCACTGATACCAATGATGGGGCACTATTCCTTCCACTGACACCAGAGATGGGGCAAACACTTTCTATTCCTCCCACTGACACCAATGATAGCACTATTCCTTGACACCAGAGATGGAGACTATTCCTTCCACTGACACCAATAACGGGGCACTATTCCTCCCCACTGGGGCACAACTTAATGGGGCACTATTCTCCACTGACACCAATGATGGGGCACTATTCCTTCCCACTGACACCATCGATGGGCACTATTCCTCCCACTGATACCAATGATGGGGCACTATTCCTGCACTGACACCAAATGGCACACTCTCACTGATTCTTTCCTCCACTGACACCAATGATGGTGCACTATTCCTTCCACTGATAACAATGATGGGGCACTATTCCTCCCACTGACACAATGATGGGGCACTATTCCTCCCACTGACACCAATGATGGGGCACTATTCCTCCCACTGACATAATTGATGGGGCACTATTCCTCCCACTGACACCAATGATGGGACACTATTCCTTGATGGGGGCACTATTCCTCCACTGACACCAATGATGGGTCACTTTTGTTCCTTCCACTGACACCAATGATGGGGCACTATTCCTTTCCACTGACACAAATAACAGTGCACTATTCTTCCCAACCATTGATGGGGCACTATTCCTTCCACTGACACCAACGATGGCACACTTATTTTCCCCCACGGATACCAATAATGGGGCAGTATTCCTCCCAGTGACACAATGATGGGGCACTATTTCTTCCACTGACACCAAGGATGGGGCACTATTCCTTCCGCTAACACCAATAATGGGGCACTATGCCTCTCACTGATACCAATAATGGGGCACTATTCCTCCCAGACACCAGAGATGGAGCAGAGATGGACCACTGACAAGCTTTAACCAGTGCTCTGCTGGACACTTTAGAAGTCACAAGACTGCTCTAACTGCTGATGAGAAAAGGTATTTAGCAGGTTATATTTACTAAAATAATTGCATTTCTATGTTCTGTGTACTGTGGGAGATCAGATATAGTGAATGTAGGGTCCTGGGTTTAGTAACACTTTAAGCAGAAGATGTAGTTTCATTTGAAGTGGCTTTATTTAATTTATCAACGTTTTTTGTGCCCAGTCTGTGAATCTATAAACTATCTGAATTACACAGTTGTCTTACTCATCTTCATCTAACATACACATTGAGGTTATTAGGTTCATTACTTACATTACAATGCCTTGTAAATAGTTTGAAGGGGGGTTTTGGCTTTCATTCTTCACCACTAGATGGAGCTCTAACCTTCAATAACTGAACCTGGTCTTTAAGTAGCAATAAAAAATAGAGTTTATTTAAATAACAAATAGGAAGTCTCATTTTTGGCTGTCATTTTTTTTCTTTATACGTAATAGTAGCATTTTAAATTTTTATCTGAATAGTAAATCTGTCATGAGAGAAACCTGAAGGCTGCCACTGCTGATTTGCATACAAGGCCAGCGACTTGTTCAAAGTATTAAATATAATAATAATAAACTTTATTTTATATAGCTCCTCAAAAGGTAGCTTCACAAAGCACTTAACAAAGAAAACAAATAAGAAATATAAAGAATAAAACAAAGGAAAAAAAGGACCATTAAGTGAAAGCTAGTCTATCTCCTAGATTGTAAGCTCGAAAGAGCAGGGCCCTTGAACCCCTCTTGTAGTGTATTGTTACTGTCTTGTCTCATTTTCTGTCCCCTTGCTACTGTACAGCGCTGAGCACACCCTTTGGCGCTATATAAATACTGTATAATAATAATAATAATAAATAAAAAAGTTTTTTTTATTTAATTTGAATGAGATTAGAAAAGATGACTCTCTGATGTTCCTTGGAAATGAATTCCAGAGTTTTGGAGCATAGCAGAAGGCTCTGTCTCCTCTCGGTGAGAAGGGGACACACACAGAAGACCAGAATTTGAGGAGCAGAGGTTACGAGGGGGGGGGGGGAGTAAGTAGATAAAAGTTCAGACAGATAATGGGGTGCCAAGCCATGAAGAGCCTTATAGGTGAGCAAGAGGATCCTAAAGTCTATGGGAAACCCAACGGGTAGCCAGTGCAAGGCCTCCAGGATTAAAGTGGACCTTCACCCTCTGGATGCACTGGCCGTCATTGTTCTCTTCCTCTGCAATCTAAATTGGAATTTTTTTGTTTTACTTTGTGTACATGTTTATGTTTTTATGCAGTATTTGTGGCTGCTGACTTTTAATTTTTTGGGGGAGCCTGGAGCTCCACTTTAATCATTTTCCCCCCTAGTGCCCAGAACTGAGACTGCTACATCACTTCCTGTTAGCGGAGAAGGTTTTCTGACATCAGAGGATCTTGGGACCTGTAATCCTATAGGGAATACATTCTGTATTCCTGAATGCTGATTGAACTACATCTACCAGAGAGCAGGAAGAATGCTGAGAAAGCAGATATAGCAAGGGACTGGCTTGCACTCTTGGTGTGGGATTCAGAGTTTATCATTTTGGCATATTCGTTAAGTTGAACCAATTCAATTTCAGAATTTGTTTCGTACCTTTGGCATTTGTTTTATATATTCATTGGTTGGGATGGATTTGCAAAATGTTGCAGTTTTTTTGGAAGATTGCAATATATTTGATATACACTATATTG